AAGATTACAATCATTGAAAAACCCTATGGAATGCAGTTCTACTTTGGCACACAGCGTGTCACTATGAGTCAGAATTGACTCAATGACAGGTTTTCTGAATCCAGAAGAGGCAGAGGACACTTGGTTACTATTCCTGAAGTTCAAATACTCTCTTTTAACTATGATACCATCTGCAATGGGAGACATACCTTGTATTTTTTTTTTATCCTTTTGTTTATTTCCAAATCTATTTACTGTCACAGATACATTCATATCTTAATCCATTCATAAGTATATATTGTAAATAGCTGGAACAGACATAGTATCTTGAGCATTTATGTAGTATAGTGGGCAGGGTAAAGCTACTTCTCAAAGGCTTCCCTGTCACTTTAAAGTCATCAGTGGAACAAGCAAACATTCCAGTTAGATCTTTTTCCTATAGCATTCTTTCACTGCTTGTGTAAATTGTTAGTGACTTGAACATACTGTTCTAGAAAGCGCTGTGGTGTAGAACTCCTGTAATATTAGACACAGGATTTTACTGAATGGACTAGTAAGTAAAGCAGACAGAATATTTGAGTCATGTTTTTGAAAATTGCTTGTCAGTTTCATTAATTTTTTGCTTTCTGTTTATATCCACAGGTACTTGTGAATGACTTCTTCTTAGTGGCTTGTCTTGAGGATTTCATTGAAAATGCCCGTCTCTTCATATTTGAGACTTTCTGTCGCATCCATCAGTGTATCAGCATTAAGTAAGAAGACCTAGATTTGATTTATATTTTCTATTTTTCAGTTTCTAGAAATTTCCATTTACTATAAAGTTAACACTTAATAGGATTCCGGTTAATTTAATTTCCCTTTGCTTTTGAAAGAAAGGAAACAATCTGATAAAGATTTATTTAAAATCTGAACATGTTTGAATTGTTAGATGCTACAGAGTCAGAACGAATCTTTAGCTTCCATGTGAGCAGCACAGCAGGATGATTGGTCAAAATGATAGCCTTGAAGCAGTACTAACTATTGATTACCTTTTTTAAGAGTAAATACTATTAAGTTACTACTTGTGGAGAAAAGTGAACTAGTTGGTTTTAGAAGTTTTCACCAGGAGTTCAAATAAGGAGTTAGTTCTTAATCTAGAGTTTGAAAAATAACTAGTGCCTTGGGCTATAGATGAAATCAAACAGTGAGGGCTCTGTAAATGTTTGTGAACTTACTACTTTAATGTTTGTCTCTGAGGAATTGTGTGTAGGACAAATTCTCTTCTTTTAATACCATTTGTTTTTGCTAAGGCACCCATACTTCTTGCCTAATTAATTTTAGTGGGTTTTCATTGAAATGATTGTCCAGAGTTAGAAGTATAGTGTGATCATGGGACTTTTCCTATGGGAATTGTTCCTGGCTCCAGTTTTATTATTAACTTGCTATAGTTAGCAGATACATAATTTTAAAATTCTGATACTCTCAATACTTGTAAATTTCCTAATATATAGTTGCTTGTGAAATAAGAGGTAGGTATATATAGCACTCTAGTGGATGACAGATAACTAAATTCTTTTATTACTTTTTGTTTTGTTTTTAAGATTTATAATCAGGGCTTGTGAACGAGAGAGGTTTGTATTTTGGTTTACTTTGTGGAATTTTCTTGTTTCCCAATTAGATTGTGGGCCCAAGTATGTTTTGTTTTGTTTTCTTTTGGTCCAGAAATTAAG